TATATATGTATATGTATATATATATATGTGTATATGTATATGTATATATATGTATATATATGTGTATATGTATATGTATATATATATATGTATATATATGTGTATATGTATATGTATATATATATATGTATATGTATATATATGTGTATATGTATATGTATATATATATATGTATATATGTGTATATGTATATGTATATATATATATGTATATATGTGTATATGTATATGTATATATATATATATATATGTATATATGTGTATATGTATATGTATATATATATATGTATATATGTGTATATGTATATGTATATGTATATATATATGTATATGTATATATATATGTATATATATGTATATGTATATATATGTATATATATGTATATATATATATGTATATATATGTATATGTATATATATATGTATATGTATATATATATACGTATATATATGTATGTATATATATATACATATATATATATACATATACATACATATTTTTGTACATATATATGTCTGTATATGTATATATGTATATAAATGTATATATATATGTATTTCTATATATATATGTATGTATATATATATATATGTATTTGTATATTTATATGTATGTATATGTATATATATATATATGTGTATGTATATATGTATACATACACATATATACATATATATATATATATGTGTATATATACAGTATTTTATACACATACATCCCTCTAGTGACTTTTGGATTGTTGCCGGGGGCTCCTTGGATGTCCTTGTAAAACTTTCACAGGGATACGCCCAGGAGGATTTGTAAATTATACCTGGTCCACCTCCGCTGACCTCTCAATGTGGAGAAGCAGCTACCCTAGTCTGAGCTCCCACGGATGATGAAATGAATAATCTTATCACTAAAGGCTAATCTTGGCCACAATATACACTACAATGTTTCCCCTGTAGTTTTTAAACAAAAGACCCTTAAAGCATTAAAATATATATTTTAGATATTTTTATTTCAGGCTTAGACAACTCCAAAAGACTGACTAATATTTAAATTTTTGTTTTTAAGCAGTAACATAAGGCGGTTGATTTTCCTCCTCACGAACATGAATATTCATAAAGTTGAAGGCTTGAGACCGTTTTATTCAAATATTCTCAATATGATGCTTTTGATGTGGATCAGATTTCATGATCTTGTTTGTAGTTACAGAAAACAAAGTGAAGTTTTTGAGCTGCGTGCATTCAGCTGAGACTGCTGCAAAATAAAGAATAAAGATAGATTCGTTGTGAAATAATTCTTTATTATACTTGAAAATGTTTTAACTCACTTTACAAAATTGATCGACAGCTACTGCTGATTATGACTTCCCAACTCTTCATGCCTGTGATGCAGGTAAGACATTTTCTTCAATGATCAGTGTTGAAACAGTCAGTGTTCCCCATTTCCACCACACAGAACATCTGTGGGTTGATGCTGGGAAATGACTCCAACCTCCTAATCAAAACGTTATTGAGAAGGCTGTTGGAGAGGTGGAGGTATGCACTTGAAAGAAGAGGAATGAAAGTCAGCCGTAGTAAGACAGAGTCCATGTGTGTGAATGAGAGGGAGGAGGTGGAGCAGTGAGGCTACAAGGAGCAGAGGTCACAAAGGTGCAGGACTTCAAGAACTTGGGGTCCACTGTCCAGGAAAATGGGGAATGTGGTAAAGAGGTGAAGAAGAGAGTCCAGGCAGGATGGAGTGATGGAGAAAAGTTTCAGGAGGGATTTGTGACAGAAGGGTGTCAGCAAAGGTCAAAGGAAACGTTTACAAGACAGTGGTGAGACCAGCTATATTGAATGGTCTGGAGACAGAGACATGGACAAAAAGACAGGAGACAGAACTGGAAGTGTCAGAAATGAAGATGTTGAGGTTCTCCTCAGGAGTGACAGGGATGGAGAAGATCAGGAATGAGATCATCAGAGGTACAGCACAGGTTGAACAACTGGGAGATAAAGATGGAGAGGACACACTGAGATGGTTTGGACATGTCCAGAAGGTTGTTAGAAATGCCAGGAAAAAGACAGAGGAGATATATGGATGCAGTTAGAGGACATGGAGGTAGATGGAGAGAGGACAGAGGATGCAGAGGACAGAGATAGAGGAGGATGACTTGCTGTGGAAAAGGGAACAGCTGAAAGAAGTACATTAAAGATTTTAAAATAATTGCCGTCGTGTAAGTAGTTCTGCATTGCAGTAAAAAATGTGCTCATGTTGTTCTTCATTTTTTATTATCAAGAAAAAAAAATCTATATGATAGTAAACTATTTTATACTACTTAGCATTGTCTGTTATGTAGCATCTGGATAGTTGGACTTGACTTCAACATCTCCAAAAGGAGACAGAAATTATTTTCACCACAGTTATTGACCGGTCATCCAACGCAATCATTTTAGTCATATTTTAACATTTCTTTTACCTTTCCACTTTCTCATGAAAACTAGTCACTTTTCTTTAGAGTGTCCTCTGGTCTAAAGCCTGTTATTTTGCCCTGTTAGCATTGAGTTAGCTGAATGCTGTTAAAAGACATTCAATGTATTTATTAAACAAAAGCTTAGGGCTTATGGGAATATCTCACCGGCCTCAGATAACTAACTCAAAGAACACAAATGTCTACTGAGAACTTTAGGTCTAACCAAAAAGAAACCGTAACATTAACACATGCGTTAAACAACCAAGTGTAATCAATGCTGCTGCACACGGGAAGGGAACTGAACACAACGAACAGCTGACGGACGTAATCACTAACCAGGAACACCTGGGAAGCAGGATCAGATGTGCAGCAACAAACACTGTGGAGGGAACAGGGAAAACCAAACCTGACACTACAGTAAACCTGAAATAAGAATAAGAATACACACAAACACAGAAAAAGTAACACGGAAACCCAATCCTCATATTTAAGATTTGAAAGTTTTCACACGGAGGCCTATGTGTTTTTAATCTGTCTCGCATTAACTTGGCAGTCAGGGAGTGACAGACACAGGTGTGTGGTTTCTTTAGGGACCATAATGAGCTATTGTCTTTTGATGTTGGTTCTCTACACGTTTTATACAATTCATAGACAAAAGTGTTGGTGTTATTTTTAGGCTTAGATAATAATTACAAAACTGATGTTGGAATTTTGAATAAATTGTCCAGTTTAAAAAAATAATAAAATTTTATTGTCATTTAATTGTAAATTATATTTTTTATTGTACTTTTATCTCATGGTTAGCAGTTTTGTCTTCTGTTTAAGTCTTAGGAAATTTCCTTGTTTACCTACGGTACTTTTAATTTTCTTGTTGAGCTTTCAATTTCAAACTACTCCTTGTTCTAATTTGCGTAATTATCAAACGAACCTAGTGTATATTGTGAATATTATGCAGCCAAAAGGTGGTATGTCTTGTGCTAAATACACGTGTGTTAGAGAGAAATATTCTTGCTTTATCTTACTTACACAAAAGGAACAAGACTTGACAGCAGGAGATGATTTTTAACTGGAAATTTACTTGGAAGGTCAGATTTTCAGGACAGGTTACACAGATATACAGGAAGTACACTCATGAAGGCCAGCCATGAGAATCTGCCACGAGCTGTCTGTGAAGCTTGTTTTTATAGTCATCAGTTCAGCCAAGCTCACAGACTCTGAGGCATCCTTGGAGCGACAGCTTCATGCTGCAGCCTCATCCAGCTCTCTGCTAACCCAAACATATGATTCATGGGTAGTGTTAACATTCTCAGCCATAATAGTTCAAAACATCTATAACCTTAGATCAAAAATTCGCTAACACGTGTTTGTGATTTCAGGTCCGTCTGGTGATCCATGAGAAGGGTCTGGTCTGTGAGGAGAGGGATGTCAGTTTACCACTGCAGGAGCACAAAGAGCCCTGGTTCATGAGGCTAAACTTGGGAGAAGAGGTACCCGTCTTCCTACATGGAGACACCATCATCAGTGACTACAACCAGATAATTGACTACATGGAAAAGAACTTTGTGGGAGGTATGACAAAAATGACCATGCAAATGTTGAATAACTACGTTTTCATTTGTGTTTCAAAAATTGGATTTAGATTTCATTAATAGATTCGCCAGTTCTGGAGCTCTGCAACAGGAATATGATTTTGGTCCCTTTTTTTCAGAAGTATCACTGCTCAGTAACAATAATAATAATAATAATAATAAAATTAGGACTGCACTGGTTCCGTGGTAGAGCAGCCGACTTGGGACCAGAAAGTCATAGGTTCAACTCCCCACCATGTGAGAGGAACCACAAGTGGAGGATGCGGCAGATAGCGAGGAACCAGAGGTGAGCGCTGTGGCAGATGGCGATAAACCAGAGGTGAGCGCTGCAGTAGACAGTGAGGAAACAGGTGAGCACTGGGGCAGATGGCGAGGAACCAGAGGTCAATACTGCAGTGGATGAGTCAGACAAGGAAGGGGCTGCAGCAGGAGAACCAGACAAGGAAGGAGTTGCAGTGGGCAATAAACCCAGTGGAGTTGCAGCATGTGATGGGACCAGAGAGGATGCAGCAGGTGACGGGACCAGAGAGGCTGCAGCAGGCGATGGACCAGAGAGGCTGCAAAAGGTGATGGGATCAGAGGGACTGCATCTGATGAGACCAGAGGAACTGCAGCGGGCGATGAGGACGGCGAGACTGCAGCAGGAGAGACAACTGGGGCTGCAGCACCAGAGGCAGAGTAGAGGTCATTGTCCTTGGCACCTATTAAGAGACTCAAAGAAGGTAGGTCGTCATTCCCGGCAATCATGGAGAGGCAGGAAGGAGGTGAGTCATTGTTCCCAACACACACAGTGAGACACAAAAGATGTGCGTAGTCGCGGCGTGAGCCAGGGACAGGGGCAAACTAGGGCTCATCATTGGACTCTGGATCTTCCGCTGATGGCCATTTGATGAATCCAGGAGGCGAGTGGGATGGCAGGTGGTAGCGAGTTGCTGGAGAGGAGTGAGGTGGTGGACAGGAAGAAACGGGCCAGGTAAGTTTCCCAGAATTGAGATCTCATCTCCTTCTCATCCACCAAGAGAGGGGATGGAAGGATTCAATTCAATTCAATTCAAAAATACTTTATTAATCCCAAAATGAAATTATTTGTTGCTGTAACTCGTTATCCTTGTTTCGTTAAGAGATGTTATAGATGCTGATGTCTGTAGGCAGGAAGGATCTCTTGTAAAGGTCCATCCCACAGTGGATCCTAAGAAACTGGCTGCAGATGCCGTCCGATCCGTCCACCCAGACTCACCTGGCCTCTCGGTTCCCCTGGACTGTAGGACCACCCGAATGCCGGGCAGAACTCCTCCCAGAGTGATGGCCACTCCTCCCAGCAGCCTGCTGAGCTCCTCGTCACTGCGGACAGCCAGCAGTAGGCGCCGAGGGACGATCCTGTCCTTCTGCTGTCATGAGCCGTGTTTCCTGCTAGTTCCAGGATCTCAGTGGTCAGTCACTTGAGCAAAGCTGGCAGGTAGATGAGAATGCGTCCACAGAACATCATTTTCAACTCATTTGAAATTTGGGGCTGTAGTTGAGATATTAATTGAGCTTTTGAGATGTTAATCAGCTGTTGGTTGTAGAAAACTGCCTTGTTGCCATGGTTATGCATCATAACAAATGTCCAAAACTAAAAAAGTTTCAGTAAAAATCCTTCCAGCTGCACAGCATCTGTTACCAGAGGAAACAATCATCCAAAAAATGTGATTTAAATCCAGTAAAAGAGGAATTAAAGTTTCCAAAAGCAAAATCTCAGAATGAAAGTAAGAGAGCTGCTCCAACATGCAGCCACCTTGAGCGGCGCAATTCTAGAACAGGATCTCAACCTCTGGGCTGCGGCTTCTTCGTCTCTGGGCAGGTCTGACCTGGAACCCACTCCACCGGATGACAGACTGTGCCTGCTCTCTCTCTTTGTTCCTTTTACCGTTGGGTAGTCTTATCTGCCTCCCAACCTTTCAAAAAGGTTGACCTGTTTGCTGAGTTCAGTGAGGTCCATGGATTCTATCATGTTCTGAGCATTTTGAACCCATGTTCAGACAGACATGGTAAGCTCAGGAATAAAATTAAGAAAATAATTTATTAAACAAGAAAACAAAGGGCTGCAGCACGGTGGCGCAACTGGTAGAGCTGCTGCCTCTCAGCGAGCAG